TATATTTTGACTAGTGTTAAGGTTATTTAAACGTTTGACCCTCTATGGAGCAGATCCCGAAGGAATGGGCCAATATTGCCCATTTCCTATCGGACCCAAATATGATATAATATTTCGACAGATGTGCCAAGTCTAAATGGAATCGGATGTTAATTTGGCGTTTTATGAGCTTCATGGGTACTCAAAATTTCAATATTTTGTGGGGGAGGTACTTGATGGAGTGGACCGATGTTGTCCATTTTCACACCTGTCCTAGCAATGACGCAAATATTAGGATTCGCAAAGTCGGAGCAAATTCGGATTAGCCTTTCTCTTTCTCTGCAAAAAATTTTTTTTTTTTTTTGAAAATTTCGACCTTTTTGTGGGGGAGTTACCAGAAGGAGTGGGCCGATATTGTTCATCTTAACACAAGACCTTGGGTTAATATAAATATTGGGATGTGTGAAATTTGAAGACAGTCGGACTCTTACATAACATTTTATGAGAGTTGTAATTATTCAAAATTTTGACCATTTGTGGGGGAGGTACTTGATGGAGTGGACCGATATTGTCCATTTCCACACCTGCCCTAGCACTGACGCAAATATTAGGATTTGCAAAGTTGGAGCAAATTCGGATTATCCTTTCTATTTCTGTGCAAAGAATATATTTTTTGAACATTTCGAACTTTTGTGGGGGAGGTACCAGAAGGAGTGGACCTATATTGTTCATCTTAGCACCAGAGCTTGGGTTAATATAAATATTGGGATGTGTGAAATTTGAAGACAATCGGACTCTTACATAACATTTTATGAGAGTTGTAATTATTCAAAATTTTGACCACTTGTGGGGGAGGTACTTGATGGAGTGGACCGATATTGCCCATTTTCACACCTGACCTAGCACTGACGCAAATATTAGGATTTGCAAAGTTGGAGCAAATTCGGATTATCCTTTCTCTTCCTGTGCAAAAAATATATTTTTTGAAAAATTCGACCTTTTGTGGGTAAGGTACCAAAAGGAGTGGACCGATATTGCCCATCTCCGAACTCGATCTAAGTTTGACAAAAATATTACCTTGGAGCCAATTTGGACCAAATCGGATACTCCCTTCGAGAGTTATCGTGCGCACCAGCCAGCCAGACAGACAGACAGACAGACAGACGGACGGACGGACGGACGGACGGACATCGCTAGATCGACTCCAAATGTTCTGAAACGGATTTGGTCCAAAGAGACCTAGGGTCTAAAACCGTTATTTCGACTAGGCACGTTTTGGCCGTATCAAATGATATATACCCTCTGTAGCCATATGGCTGAGGGTATAAAAAGTATCGGTCGGCTTTGCCGACAGATGTATACCCTCAGCCCTCTTCACCCTCTATGGAGTGGGTTTTTAAAGAATGGGTCAATATTGTCATCTTAACATCAGATCTTGGGTTAATATAAATATTGGGATGTGTGAAATTTCAAGACAATCAGACTCTTACATCACATTTTATGAGAGTTGTGATTATTTAAAGTTTTGACCCATTGTGGGGGAGGTACCAGAAGGAGTGGACCGATATTCTCCATTTTCGCACCAGACCTAGCAATGATGCAAATATTAGGATTTGCAAAGTAGCAGAATAATCGAATTATTCTTTCTCTTTCTGTGCAAAAAAAAAAAATATTTTTTTTTGAAAATTTCGACCTTTTGTGGGGGAGGTACCAGAAGGAGTGGACCGATATATTCCATCTTAACACCAGACCTTAGGTTAATATAAATATTGGGATGTGTAAAATTTTAAGACAATCGGACACTTACATCAAATTTTATGAGAGTTGTAATTATTCAAAATTTTTACCATTTGTGGGGGAGGTACTTGATGGAGTGGGCCAATATTTTCCATTTTCACACCCGACCTCACACTGACGCAAATATTAAGATTTGCAAAGTTGGAGCAAAATCGGACTATAATTTCTCTTTCTGTGCAAAAATTAAATTTTTTGAAAATTTTGAACTTTTGTGGGGGAGGTACCAGAAGGAGTGGACCGATATTGCCCATCTCCGAACTCGATCTAAGTTTGACAAAAATATTACGATGTACCAAGTTTGGACCAAATTGGATACTCCCTTCGAGAGTTATCGTGCGCACCAGCCAGCCAGACAGACAGACAGACAGACGGACGGACGGACATCGCTAGATCGACTCCAAATGTTCTGAAACGGATTTGGTCCAAAGAGACCTAGGGTCTAAAACCGTTATTTCGACTAGGCACGTTTTGGCCGTATCAAATGATATATACCCTCTGTAGCCATATGGCTGAGGGTATAACAAAGGGTATACGCATTGCCAAAGACAGTGGCTCCAAGAGAAAAAAAAATACGTATGAGAAATTAGAAAATTTTTTCGGGATTTTTTTTTTTTTGGCGACATTTATATACATTTTTTTAACCTCCACCATGGAAAGGATGGTATATTAAATTTTTCATTCCGTTTGTAATACCTCTAAATACACACTCGTCGTTGACCTCATAAAGTGTTCATATTCATGATTGGCATACAATTCTAAGTCGATATAATGATGCACGTCTCTCTATTGAAATCACGGTACAGCCCACATTATTTGACATAGGGCTGGTATCGAAAATCAGATATATCGATCCAAGTTTTCTTATAGCCTCCATATAACGATATGTCTGGAGATTCGTGATTTAAACGATTTTAGCCACCTATGAAGGCAGTTGGAGACTTGATACTTCTATATATATATATATATATATATATATATATATATATATATATATATATATATATATTTATTTATTTATTTTTTTGAAGTTCGGCTCGAACTACAACGAAAAAAGAGATTTATGTTCTTTGTTGACTTACAATCAAATCTGTTTAAGTTCGCCATTCCGTTCATAACTCATCGAAATAATGAAATCATCGAAATTTTAGACCCTATTAAGTATATATATTCTTCGTCCGTTTGTTGTAATCAGGATGGAGTCGAAACGATGTCGATATAACGGCACCTCCCGATACTCGAAATTTCGATGATTTTATTGCCTTTAGTCCCCCTATAACGGTACCCCCAGATATTCGGCATTTTAATGATTGTAGCCATATATTTCAACTGAATTCTGCACATGCAGTTAATTTCGGGTACTTTGTCTCTTAATGAAAATTATATATATAAGTTCACGATGTCGTATATCCCCCATAACTCCCGATATTAGATATTTTGATGATATTAGTAAAAATTTTCAATGGAATTGTCTGAAAACACACATAAGGAGGTTCGTTCTGAGTAAGTTAACCTCTGAAAGAGAATTGTCTATATAGGTCCACGATATCGTATAGCCCCCCATACAACAGTACCTCCAGATATTCAAATCTTGATTCACCGGAATTGTTTCAAATTTCTTATTTGAAGCTCATAATGGGTACTACAACCTATGACGGAAAATTGTCTATGAAGGGCTTCGTCTTCGTATATCCCACATACATGGTTTTCCTTTGAGCGGTATTTTCGACGGAATTTTTTGAACATTTTTCAAGTTCTTTCATAATGGTGGAGGGTATTAAAATTACGGGCCGACCTTTGCTGTTTATACCCTACACCACAAGGTGGTCAGGGTATTATGTCTTTGTGCATTTGTTTGTAACAGGCAAAAGGAAACGAGATAGAATCACATTCTGAGTCGATTTATGTATGTCCGTCCGTCCGTCTGTCCGTCCGTCCGTCTGTCCATCTGTCCGTCCGTCTGTCCATGTATTTTTGTAAACAAAATAAAGTTCGCATTTATTTCCCGATCCAGATGAAATTTTGCACAAATCATTTGTTTGACCCAAGGACGAACCCTATTGAAATTGCAGATAATCGGTCAAAATTTAGATATAGCTCCCACATATATCTTCGTCCGATTTGCCGTTTATTGTGCACCAAACGTGTAATATCAGTCCGAATATTATGGAATTTTGCACATAAGATCAGATCGGACCTGAAAATAAGTATGTCAAATTTGATCGAAATCGGTTCAGATATAGCTACAGCTCCCATATATATTGTTCATCCGATTTGTTATTTTTGTCCTCCGCAGCCGTAATATGCACTCTGTAACAACAATATTTGCGGAAATATATCAAATACAGCACAGAAACACATGCGCTAAATTTTATCACGATTGGTTCAGATTTGGATATAGCTCGCATATATACCTTTGATTGTGCACCAAACGTCTAATATTTGCCCAATGGGATGAAATTTGGCACTTACGACCGAATTGGGTCTAGAAGCTGGTATGTCAAATTTGGTGAAGATCGGTTCAGATATAGCTTTAGCTCCCATATATACTGTTCATCCGATTTGTTATATTTGTTACCCACAGCCGTAATATGCACTCCGTAACAACGACATTCAGGGAAATATATCGAACACAGCTCAGAAATATCTTTGCCAAATTTTATCGAAATCGGTTCGGATTTGGATATAGCTCCCATATACACGCAGAAAAATATATGTTAGAAATATGTTTGGATCCAAACATATATTTGTTTGGGACTGGTTGCAAACAAATATATTTTTGGATGCAAACATAATTTGTTTCGGTGCAAACAAATATTTGTTTGCAACATTTTGTAACATAACTCAATTTTATTTGTTGGGTACCAACATATTTTATATGTTAGAACATATTTTTTTATGGGTGCGGAGAGGATTTTTTTCAAAGAGCTAAACAACAGAGCTCTCGATTACTTTTGAATTGGTGTTATAGGTGACTTAAAAGAAGACAGGAGGGTGAGAAGTCTGTTTTTGCGTTAATGATGTGTTGGCTTGGTTGGCCGCACAACAAAGCAGAACCGAAACATTTTTTGCTCTCTTCCAAATATAACTGTAAATAGAAGTTGTATGTATGCATGAACATTAGTAAGAAGTAACGTCTCAGCAACAACTAGAAAATACACACCGCACAACAACAACAACGAAAAACTTTTTGCATGTTTTTTCGTTGCTGTTGTGCGGTTGTGAATTTTCTAGTTGTTGCTGAGACGATACTTCTTACTAATGTTCATGCATACATACATACATGCGTTTTTCGCATTAACACCGACATATATACAGAGGAGTCAATTTTTTTGTGTGTTGTTGTTGTAACGTTTTCTTTCTCAAGTAGGCATTTTTTGGTGCATGGACAATAGAAAAGAAATAAACGTCTCAGCAACAGTTTCCATCCCTCTTGCCGCGCACACACCACACATAGTTCCATCAGCAATCGGCAGTGTTTGCTTGGTGAGAACAAAAGAGCGTAACATTGGCGCGTGTCTCAACTTGAGTGTCTCAACTTAAGACACGCACCAATGTTACGCTCTTTTGCTCTCACCAAGCAAACACTGCCGATCGCTGCTGTAACTATGTGTGGTGTGTGCGCGGCAAGAGGGATGGAAACTGTTGCTGAGACGTTTATTTCTTTTCTATTGTCCATGCACCAAAAAATGCCAACAACAACACACAAAGAGCTGTTTGGATGTTTTTTTGTTGCTGAGACGTTGCTTCTTACTAATGTTCATGCATACATACATACATGCGTTTTTCGCATACACACCGATTTGCTTGATGAGAACAAAAGAGCGTAACATTTGCGCGTGTCTCATGTTGGCATTCTGGTTGTGTTCTTTTTTTATTCTTTTTATTTGTTTTGTGCCTTCGCGTCGTGTCACAAGTGTTGTAATAAATGTTGATACCAACTGTTTTGGGGGAAGACAAATATTTGTCGAAGCGCCGGAGCCTTTAAATCTACAAAGCTTTATAAAAGCAGCCAAATTAGAGTTAAAAATTGATGCCTCAAGAAAAATAACAGCCTTAGTGTTTGGTGCAACCATTAAAGAAGACCAGTTTGAAAAAGTAATTCATCAATATATGTCAACACCTACTTTTCATATTGAGTTGCAATTTGGAGGTAAGTACACTGGATTTACAGACTGTTTCTTTATGTCGGAACAAAAAAAAATTTCGTTTCAAAATAAAGAAACAGGCTGTTAATATTTTTTTCTTTTTTTAAATAATATATTTCTTTTTTTAAATAATATTTAATTTTCATTTAGACTCCGTTCGATCAGTGGCATCAGCATCGACAGTTAGTGGCACTCTATCGGAGTGTGAATCCGTAGGTGGTTTTGGGGATCTTACCCCAAAAACAAATGTTATTTCAACTTTAAAGACTGACATAGAGTCCATCAAGTCAATTCCGGCTGTCAACAAAATATGGAGAATTTTTATTGCCGAAAAACGCCTGCAAAATAAAGATAGGGTGAATATTTCGAAGGCCCTTATTGACGAATGTCTAAAAGAAGACCCTAACAGATTGTAAGTATTTTACTTTATTGAAAAAATAGTGATTGTAATAAAAGGAAAAATAATAAATTAATAAATAAAAATAATAACAAATATTAAGAATAATATTAATAATAATAAATTAAAAATTAATATAAAATTAAACATTTTATGAAAACTGGCACGATATAAATTATAAACTTATTAACAAATGTTTATTTTATTTTATCAATAACAACAATATATTATTTATAAAAATTAAAACATAATAAATTAATATTAGAAACATAAGAATAATTTTAAGCATAATAAAAATTGTAATAATTAATATAATATTAATATCAGTAATAAAAAATTGTTAAAAATAATAATATTAAAATAAAAATTCTAATTATAAAAATATTAAAGAAAATAAAAAACTATGTTTCATTATAAATTATTTATTTTCTTTAATATTTTTATAATTAGAATTTTTATTTTAATATTATTATTTTTAACAAATGACACATTTTATATATGTTCAAATTTTGAAAATAATTTATTTATAAATTGCCTTTAAAACATATGCTTATAATATGTATATGTTTTTTAATTTTATATTATATATTATAATATGTATGAATTTCTTTTATGTTAAATAAAATGTGAATATCAAAAATTGATTTTAAAACTAGTTTGCATTATGGTTGAATTATATCTGCAGTAAGTATACAAATGGACCCAATCATAAATTTATGTTTGCACCCCAATATATATTATGTTTGGACCCAAACATAAATTATATTTAGGTCCAAACACAACTTATGTTTGGACCGAAACATAAGTTTGTTTCCAGCCAAACATACATTATGTTTGGATCTAAACATAAATTATGTTTGCACCCAAACATAAATTATGTTTGCACCCGAACAAAAATATGTTTGGACCCAAACATTAATTATGTTTGGACCCAAACATTGATTATGTTTGGACCCAAACATTAATTATGTTTGGACCCAAACATAATTTGTTTGCAGCACCCAAACATATGTTATGTTTGGGAATGTTTGCAAACATATATTTGTTTGCTGCAAAATATGTTTGGGACATATGTTAGAGAGGCTTATATTTTTTTGCGTGTATATTTTTATCCGATTTCAAATTAATTGTGCACCAAATGGGCAATACAAGTCCTTTAAACAAGTCCTTTAAACTTTAAATTATAATTATAATCACAGGGTGTATGATTGAATTCTCCCATAAAAACTTATAATTGTTATGGGGAGCTCTACTAAATTAGCAAAGTGGTGTAGGGTATTATAAAGTTGGCCCTTTCTTTACTGGTTTTTTATTTGTTTTGTGGTCAACAGAAATGAGTTTTCTTTTTTTTTTTTTTTTTTTGATGATTTGATGAAGACTATTTTTCCTTTTAAATGATGATTTGTAGAAGAAATTCACAAAAATTCATATATGGGCCGATTTTATGCCTAAAATATTTAAATATTTTGATTTCTGGCATTTAAATCAGGTCTAGAGTTTTGATGTATTCTAGATTTATAGCAGAATTAAATGACCAAAAATCTGTGAGATATTCAAATTTGCTATCACACCCATTAAAGGGAATCATTAAACCTTTTTTGAAAAATTGACCAAAAAGACCCTTTTTATGACCCGCTTATGGTTTAATACGTTAAATCAATATAATTCTCATATTTGTTATGAGTAATACTGCTGGAGACACAATGTACGTAAAATACAAGGATTACAAGACATTTTTATCCGGAAATGTCAAAAAATGTAGAAGAGGTCGGGGCTTTCCCCCTCTATTTAGGTTAGGTTTTTGAGCCACTGTATATGAATAAACAATCAACAAAAAAAAAAAAAAAAAACAAGAGAACAACAATCATTATTATAATGTTGTTTCATTATTAGGTCGTTCTTGTTGTATTTTTTTCTCTGGGATACGCGTATTTTATTATGATGTTGTTGCTATTTGTGTGTCAATGTCAAACATTTTAACAAGAATTAGGGTTGGGTTTCGAAAGTATCTTCTTCGTTTGTTTGCTGTGTTTGCATGTGTATTCTATATTCTCTGCTAAAATGTCCCAGGAGGGAGGGGTGATAGTTTCATTGAAACTCCTTTTATTTAATAAAAATGATATGTTAATACAAAAAAAAAAAAAAAAAAAAACAGGAAAAAGAACACACATCACAACAATATTATCAGCGTTATCGTTATTAATCTCCACCCTCTTCGAATCGGAAATAGTTTTTTTTTGTTTGTTTTTATTTGTTTGGCAGTTTTTGATTAAAATCTTCATCAAAGTGCTGGTAACAATGTCAAATCTAGGGTTCACACATGATTAGTAATTTTGAAGGAAACAACTTCCAAAGTGACATTTGATGAATCGATATGCCATGACATTTATGGTGGAAGGGTAGTCGAATGACGACCATAAATGTGTCAGTTAGGCCTTTGCTATAATAGAGTCTTTTATTAATTTATAAAATTTAAGGAGTGGTATGCTGAAGTTTTTTCGATTATTTTTTATTAAAAGGTTTATGCTTTACTTTAAAGGTAGATTTAACAAGGGTGATAATAACTCAGTGAAGGTGCAGTCCTTAATGTGACCAAATTGAGTTTCGGAAAAGTTTATTTTATGCTTGGGCAATAAATAATGTTTATTTGAAAATTTTGGAAATATCTTATTTTAAATGAATGTTGGATAAGGGATATGCTCTTATTTACGAACATTTTCATATATTTCATAAAATGATTCATAAATTTCATATATGTGAACATGCTGTTGCCCTTACCATTTTTACCAGTTTCTTTCGAATACTAACTACTAAGGTATTTGTCGCGTCATACATCAAAATATATCTTTAGTAACACCCTAATAATGATCAACAAGTAAATAGCAGCTATGTTCGGCCGGGCCGAACTTTTAATACCCTGAACCATTTGGAAGGAACTTCAACAAATTCCGAAAAATACCGTTTTAACGATGAGCTTTATATGCGGAGTATACGAAGACGCGGAAGCGCCAATTACAAACTTCAAATGCGATATTTGAAACAATTCCAGTAAATAATGTCGCTAAATGCATCAAAATACCCAATAAAGGTACCGTTATATGGGGGCTATAAAACACGTGGACCTGCATACCAATTTTTTAGGTCTAGTCTGGTATGTACGTATGGAGTACCCATTGCAAACTTCGAATACGAAATTTGAAACAATTCGGGTGAATGATGTCGCTAAAATCATCAAAATACCGCATATCGGGAGGTACCGTTATATAGAGGCTTACGAAGACGTGGACGTGCACAGACAATTTTCTGTCTTAGGCTGTAGTATCTATTTCGAACTTCATACATCAAATTTGAAACAATTCCGGTTAATAATGTCGCTTAAATCATCAATATACCGAATATCGGGAGGTACCGTTATATGGAGGGCTATACGAAAATGTGGAACGACATGACGAACCTACTGGAAAAAATACACATGTGTGTAAAATGTTAGCCTTCTATCTCAATTCGTTCGAAAGATAGCGTAATTAAAACAGACAGATGGACATCGCTAAATCGACTTAAAATTTTACGCTAATCCAGAATATACGTGTGAGATAAAAAAAAACTGCAATAAAGTCAAACGCCATAATTTTTACATATTTTTTTAAATTTTATTGAATGCAAGCTAAAAATGTCGGAAATAGCATCAAATTTTAGAATAAGTTTAGATTTGTTCGAATTGGTCACCTTTGGCACGAATTATGGCCTTTAAACGGCCAATGAAACCGTCACACGCTGCCCGAATGTTGCTCTGCGGTATTTTGGACCCATTCCCGGCGAAGCGCTTGCCTGAGGTGATCGACACTTTGGTATTTTTTAGTGGCAAACTTGCTTTCCAAAATACTCAAGACACAATAGTCCAAGGTCTGTGGCCAAAATGCTTGCGTGCCCGCCCACCCTCCAGAATATTTTCGAGATAATATTCGGCATTTATTCTGATGCCACGGTCGATAAATACGAGCGGAGAACGACCCTCGGCTATTATGGCGGCCCACACCATCACCATGGCCGGCGCTTGAGTTCTGGTGGCCAACCGAAGGTGCACATTTTCAGCTGACCTCTTTGACAAGTAAACACGATCATTTTGTTTGTTTACAAAGTGCTGGACAACGAATGTTTACTCATCGGAGAAAACCAAATTCGGCAGTTCACCACTTTCGGCCAAGCGGAACAACTCTTTAGCTCTTTTGAGTCTATTTTCTTTCTGTTACGGTGTAAGTTCGTGCACTTTTTTGGAGTTTCAATGGCTCATTTTTCAATATTTGACGAATGGAATATTGTGATATGTTCAGCTCACGAGCCATTTTTCGGCCAATGAGACGCGGCCGTTTTTTATTTTTCGAACCATTTTTGCTGATGTTGTTATTTTCTTCTGTACACTTCCTGGACGCCGGACTACGCGGTACGAGACACAAAAGGTTTATTCCCATTTTAATGCTGAAGTGCTCTAACGATAGCCACTTGTGGTTTTCCGGCCAAATATAAAGAAATTACACTATCACGCTTGAATTACATCACGAATAACTTTTTTTCTGGAAACTTCTCAAAATGCTTTTGTACGCTTGTAAACAATATAATGAGCTGTCACTGGAATAATTTTAACAGCTGTCGGACGAGTGGCTTAGAAATGACGGCAGTCTGAAGTTGGTTGCGGTTTTTTCATCTCACCCTGTACATTGTAGGGTCTATCATAAATATTTCGATAAATTATGACAAAGCTAATATACCCTCCATAGAATGGTGGAGGGTGTAAAAACACATACTCGTTCTATGTCTCATTCAAACTGCCTGTTTTTTTAAAGAGTTTCACATTTCCTAAAACAGAACTCCCCAAAGTTATATTCCATCCATCCATCAAACGATGGTTAATTATCAATGTTATCGTCAAGTTAAAGTGTCAAAATATCTGTTATTCCCCACAGCCAAACAGAAACATCGCCCAAAACATTATACGAAAAGCCTAGAACATCAATACGTGAAATCTTGATAACAAAACAGAATGACAAAC